ACAGAAGGGTGGAAAAACTTCTGCCCCTTTTGTAGATCACTCTTTAAATGCCTAATGTGTGTGGGTGATGTAGCTGTGAAACATCAGTTGGTTACTGATGTGTTTCAGCTCTTCTTAAGAGAAGCTGATGTGGTTCAATTACTTGCTTTAAAGTAATCTGATCCCAATTATTTTCCTACGACCGTGCTGGTTATATTCAATACCCGTTATTCTGGGAGTGGTCCAGCCTAACTCGGCACGTAAAATACAACTGACTCAGACATCCCTTTAAAATACAGTTAAAACCGAGAAACCTTTCTATTCCCATGGTATTGTCCAATAATCTTTTAGTGTTTGTAAACTTTTGGAAAGCTTCTTTAACCAATCTGTTCTTCAGTACTGCACTTGCTGTTATGCTTCACGCTGTTGAGTTTGACTAGGGAGAGCAAGATATTAAGATAAAACCCTTTGACTGGGATAGGGCTTCTCTGCTCCCTTCCCCTGTAATTTTAGTCCTTGCATCTTTTCAGTCTCAGTGCCTTTGCTTTCCTTCCCTGATGTTGTAGTTTCTATAGCTATTCTGTATCACATTAAGTTTTTTGTGTTGGCAGTCTTTGCAATTATACCACATTCAGTAAATCTCTGACAAGGCTAAATTGACATCTGAAGTGCCTTTTGAAGGCCTCATTTCTGTCAGTTTCTGTCGGGACATGCTAACAGGGACACATCCTTCCACTTCTAGCAGTGCCAAAGAAGTGCTTGAATACCTGTCTCTATGCAGTATAAATTTTCTAGGATAGTGCTTGTTTCTTTTAGTTTCAAATAGCATATTCTTCACAGCTGTGATAGAGAAGGTCTGTGGAAACATGGAACTGGGATGCAGATGTGTTTACTTAAAAAACTGTTAAAGCAACTGATGCAGCAACTTACTGCTTGTACATAGTTGTCTCCAACTGGCAAAAATTGTTTTAGGTTTGTAGGTAGTCTTGTCGATTTAAGATTCTAGTTCAAGTAAGAGCAAAGCATTTCAATATTCTCAGGCTTGCGAGAAGGACGGAAGGATTCAGTGGTTGTCTCACACCAGTGCCATGAGAGAGTTTGCCAGCAAATGTTATAAACAGCTGTTGTAGTAGTTAGGTCAGATGATAGGTACTAATTACCGTGTCTCAGTGATTTCCACATATTTTCATGTCCCGTTTATCGTTTCATCAACAGAGACCGAGTTCTGAAAGAAAAGTTGTTGCTTCTCGAAAAGCCAGTGGCAGAAACAGTGTCAGGCAGGGGAGCACTCTAACAGGAATGCTGCAGTGGTTTTTAATGCATAATTTTAATATCAACTCTTCTAATTTCTTGAATGATCATGTGAAAAGATGGAAGGGGAGAATTAAACCCCTTAAAGTGAGGGGTCCTATTTCTTGATCTTTTATTTACTTATTTCAGAGGGGAAGCAAAGTAACTTGGGTTTTAGTAAAGTATCTTACCTAGCACCAGAATACTGTTCTGAGCAAACATAAACTGAAATGATAGTGTTTGCAACAGGTCACTAACATTCTGGAATAATGACTAAATGGAAAAGATAATGGAAATGAACATCTGTGCAACAATGAAACATTTCTCATTAAGAGAATTGGCCTGTAGGATAGAGTGTTTCTCCCCCTTTTTTAATCCGTTTTAAGGTGCTGTACCTGTTACTATTAATGTGTACTTGTGTAATTAAGCTAATGAATGCTGGTAAATATTGAAAACTTATGTTTCTTGAAGATTTCTGTGGAGAAGAGATTTTTTTTTTTTCTCTTAAATTTCACTCTGAAGCAGCTTAAATAATGTAATGGCTTTACAACTACTTTTATTTTTTTCTTCTCATTTTTTGCGAAGGCTTGGGACTCAGAAATTTCCAACAGATTTTCCAGCTTAGTTTCAGTGGGAGGCAGGGTCAGACCTGCAGAGATTACAGTAGCTGTTGACAATATGTTCTTAATGTAAATTCTTCAAAGTTGTGAAAGTCAATCTTTATGGTGTGAAGCAAACCCTGTGTGTTGTGTTTATTTTTTTAGTATGATATTGAAAACTGAACTGAACTGCTCAGAAAACTTCTTTAAGTACCCAGGGTTTTGCATTTTCATTTCAAGCACTTTTTACATTTCAGTTTTGTTTCCATTTTATAACATTATTCTGAAATTGAAATTTATGTACTCAACAAGATTCTATTATGTAAAATAAAGATTTGTTGAATAGGGTTTGTGTTTGCAGGGACTGATCTGTGAAATGTTTTTCTTTTTTTAGCTGATTCTGTGGGAAAATAGTGACTTTTTTCTTCTCCCCCTACCCTGCCCTGTAATGGAAATTCTTTAGCAACAATTCTGTCTTAACTTTTTTCATTTCTAAGGAAATTAATAAATACTACATCTAACTTTTCTAGAAGGAGAAGGCATGGAAGCACACTGTGCCTCCTTCGTGGGTGGAGGAGGACAGAGATAGAAGCCAGCTATAGATGTACCATGTTTGACTTGCTTTGAATTACCTCTGTCTCCTCAAAATGTGTGCTTATCTGAAGGAAACAAAACATTTACGGGATTCATTAGTTAGAGCTTTTTGTTAAAAAAAAAAAAGGTTCCTAGCATTAGAGAACCAACTGCAAATTGTAAACCACAACAATAAAACGCGTCTTGATACAGTGTGGTGAGTTCTTCCAGTCTGAGCAAATCAAAGCAGTTATTTATTACTGAAGCAGGACACAGTTTGACAAAACATGGTAGAAATCTTCCTCAACTTATACAACCAACCAAAAAATACTAGCCTGAGGCTACATGTATAAGACAGTGGCTTGGAACTATTTTCCTCCTGAAACATCAGCCAAAGATGTGGATCTCTGATATAGTTATCTCTTGATGGCTGGGGGCAGCTGGCTGCAAAATGGCATGGAAGAGAACCATTAAGAGAAAATAGATTATGCCAAAGCTTCTTGTCATGTCCCCTTTTATCTTGACTTCAGAAGGTTGTCATGTCATTGTCGCAGGGCTCTGATAGAAAAGGGAAGTCTGAACACTGTGGACAGTAGTGGCATGTAATACAAATGTGAAGTTCAGCTAAGCATTGAGAAACGATGATATATGGGCTGCAATCCTGAATTTCCCAGCCCCGCTTCCTGAAACTGCATGTAACTGAGCCCAGTAAAGTAAATAACCTTTGATGTGAAAGGAGAGAGACTTTCGCTTACTTGTACCAGTATACTTTAGACTTTTACAGTATTCTTTTCACTGGTCAGCATCTTGCTTTAGCTATTTTGAGGTCTTTAAGGACTTCATAGAAGGCAGCTGAGAAATAATTCCTTCAACTTTTTTTTTCTTTTTTTTTTTGCCTCAAGGTCAACTAAGCATTTGATAACTTGTAAAGAAACATATGATTCAACAGGTTTGGATTTTATTTTCTAGTGACTTTTGATTGAATAGTTTAGTGCTTGTCTGTAGGGAAGAGTTAGTTTGTCTACAACTGGTTAGTCTGTAACAACAATACTGAGCAGGATCCATCTAGCCCCGTTTTCTTTGATACCGGCTGATTATGAGTACTCGGAGAGTGAAAAGAAGGAAAGGGTGAACACATATCAATATACTCACTCCTTCCTAAATCTTAGACTTACTGAACCTGATACTGATCTTTATACTTAATTTTTTTGAGGATCCTTTTTGCAACCTTGTCTAACCAATGTTTAAACTCATCTAGGTTCTCTATTTTTTTATGACAATAGTTACATAGTTTAAGCTTGAATTACATGTGTTTCCTTTTTTGATTAACTTAATTTAGTGCCTTGTAATTACTGTGAGAAATTGTGAGGAAAAACTGAATAGTCACTCCCTATTCATCATCTTCATGCCATTCTTCCAGTTAGGACTTATACTTTTCC